GACTCTCGCACGAAGAATGTAATTTATTTTTAAATATAGTATTGTTTTCTCTTCTTGTTTGCATGTCGCCATTTTTTTTAGTGTTAAATAAAAGTTATTGCTGTGTTCCTGTCATTGGAGTTGCTTCATTTCGCCAAAGAAGTATCACAATGCCATTTTGGGACGCCATAAAACATTAAAACGAAAATGACAAACCAACTGACGGCAATTCCAGTATCCGAGTTCCAGTATTGCTATAAATTGGAAAAATATCGTCTCTAACGCTGTGTGGCAAGGAGATTACTTTGAAGGGGAGAGTGTGAGACTGTAGGTTTAGCTAAATAAAAGTTATAAAAAATCAGTTCTCATTATTTATTTGCACACCTCGTATATTGGAAGTAAAGGAGCCAAATTACAAAGTAACAAATTTATTTGGGAATTATAATCAAGAAAATACCACTTCATGATAATTCGGAGAGCTTTAAAATTTCAGGGCCAATCCCGTAACGCTCGGAGGGAAAGCATATTTGCTTTTCTAATGAATCACATACAAAGTCACTTTTGCCCACAACTAAAAGTTACAAAATTCTTTTCTTTCCTAGAACGCAAAGAAAGATTCGTTGAAAAGAAACTCTTTACTGATTCCACTACAGAATATTGTTAAATAGATTGAGCAACATATTATTAATTACTCAAAATATACAAACTTTCTACCATCTACAAAGCAATTACATAAATAACTAGCTTGAAATTAAATTGGTATCATATATATTTTTTATGCTTGCATCATTAAGCCAGGCGAATTCTGGCAGTGTTAGCATGATTTCCATTTTAAGCCAGCGGTTTTGATACATTGTACTAAGTGTGGCTTCCTTCTTTACTGTAATGTCTATTGTCTTCTAACACGCTTTTAAATTTACCAAAGGATCATTAGACATCAAGGATTTTTGTGGATTATGAACAGATAATGGATGACGACTTGAATAACATAGCTATGTAGTATATCCCTAAATGGTAAAATGCATACTGAATTCGTGTGGTCAATGGTTGTAACATTCAGAAAATGATTAAATTTAGACCATAACAAGCCATTAACTCTCAGAATCTTATCTGAGATCACTATTTGTGTATATTTCCTATTTGTAAGACAAAAGCGGCATTCTGATTAATCCTAAATGCAAAGGTTATTTAAAATCATACTTTTTTTAGCTTAAGAAAAAAGCGATAATTTTGGCACTCCAAAATTTCGATAAACTTTCTCAAAGTATGAGCCTGACATAAAATCTTGAAGATTATTTATGGATTCAAATTAATTTCTGGTTTAGATTCTGTAATGTGATTATTATGCAGTAGTACATTTTCGCAGGTTTCTGATAAAGATAGTATTAGAAAGGCTTGAAAATAAAAAATATACAAATAACTGAACAATTATAACAGAAATTAAGAAACAAATCTACCTTTTTGTAATTTCAGAAAGTACTTTAAAATAACCAAAACTGATAACGAAAATTCATATCGCCATAAAAGTACTGCCCAAACTGCAGCTTGCTGAATGGGGCATCCAAAGGCAAGCTGAAGCATATCCGCGTTCGAATCCTGGAGAAGCGTAGATGCTTACAATACATGCCCATAGGTTCTGTGCGGGAAAGGTAACTTAAAATACACGGTAAGCAGGAATTTTCTAGAGAGGCTAACAGGAGCAGAAGAGGAATGGAAAACCCCCGAACCACCCATGGATATTCTCCCTTGGGTGGCGGAAGCTTAACTATTAACAAGGTCTGGACCTAATATGCCTACATGAATGCGGCGGCCTCGGTTCAGTCTTTTTTGTACGTGCAAATCTTGGCAGGTTATTTACGAGTATTTATTATTATGTGTTCCGCCATTAGGCACTACAGGAGAAGGGAAGGATGCTCCGTGGAAGACTTATAAAGGAAAACTAGCTCGCATTCATGCTAAACACGGGGAAAACCAAGAAAACGTTCATGCACACAGCCCATTTGCTGGGACTCGAACCCCGGACTGAACTACCAGTGATCGTTGGTTTTTACCGCTAGGCTATTGTTGGACAATCTTGCCAGTTGAAAAAATGTTTTGTTACTATACTTCTAGGCATCGCGATTTAGCCATTGTCGAACTGGCTTTAAATTCATATAAAAACAGGAATGATTTTAATCAATAAAATATTATGGCAATGTTATTACCACTTTGAAGACACAATCTTTTTTTTTTTTTTAACTATGAGGAAATCATAATATTTTGATTCGGAGTTTTGATAAATTTAAGAACAAAAATGAAGAATTCAGAGCAAAATATGAAATTAACTGTACATTATATTTATCCATAACGATCATATAGGTTGATATTAATTCTTTTTCAGTTTCATAACTGAGGGGGGAACATACGTCCCAGTTTAATTTATTGCGTCGATTCACTTTAAACGACGTGTTTCTCAAGATATGCTTTTTTAAAATATTTTATAATTTTGCTGCAGAATTGAATTTTATGTGGCGTGGCGAAAAATGTAATATTATATAAATGAAGTTAACACATGAAAAGTTAATAATAACAAGAAAAAAAAAAGTCGCTAGCCTTCTTAGTAAGAAAAATAAGTATTGATATGATGAAATGAAAAGAATATAAAAATGTATGCCAAAACTTAACACTGCATAGGGAATTCTAAACATATGCTGCTATACAGATTCTAAACCTTTTGTGATTTTTCGCGTTCAACTGTACGTGGCACAAGTGTGAAGAAAACGATAATTAATAACAAAACTAAAAAATGGGGGGTAACAGGAATGAGAACAAGAGCAGCCCGGCTAGAGTGGTGGCTCAATGAGAGCATACAAATATTTAGCAAACCCTCTTGGGCTGTTGTTGAATTCTAAAAACCTTTCAGTTTGTTTTTTATTTCCATCTTTTTTTCTTTTCTCTCTCTCGCTCTCTCTCTTTTTTTTTTTTTTTTTTTTTTTTTTTTTTTTTTTTGAGTACTGTAAATTTATCGGGAGGCCTGAAGAAAATATTTTGTATAGGGACTCAAGAGTTCTGGTTATGCCACCGCCTGTAGTTTTTATTCTCGTTCTAGAGTGTTAATTTAAAAACCGGCAAGTGGTCTTAAAAAACGATTAAATGAAATATTTATTTTGTAGAAAAAAAGTGTATTAGTATTTATCAAATGTAGATAGTTTCGAACATAGCTGCTGAATGTTCTTTTGCATTCAATACTCTGAATTCAACTTGAACGTTAATATATTGAAATATTGCAGAGGTTTTACAGATTGCCGATAGATGGCAGCACTGATAACCCAATAATCCCTTTAGAGTATGATTTCTCTGTGTCAGTTACGGGATTGATTGCAGTGCCTCTCGAGCGGCTATTTTAACATTTTCCGAAACTTAATCTAAAATTTATTACTGAACTTTTATCAATTTTTAATCACCAGAGCTATATCAAAAATGACGAAGATTGAATAAATGAAAAGAAACCAATGTAATTATGAGAAAGTTTTTGGAAAACAGCGAGAGCATTAAGAAACTCTTGTAAACTAATTCAAAAACAGTTTGATTATGAAACGACTGAACGTCAGGAAGTTTTTAAAAAAATAAGGCAGTTTAGTCTTATCTGAAGTAAATGTAACTAGATCAGATTATTAAAATATTTAGCGTTTTATCAGTTTTTTAGAGAATAATTTAAACCTATCTGCTTTGATCTAAAATCTAGTCATTAAATGTTTATACAATGATATACAGCAATAACATTAAGCATGAAATAGGTATGAAATGGAAGTAAGGGAAATTTAAATGTTTTATTTTAAAGGAGCTCTTCGAATACTTTATCAATAATACATTTGAGAGAACTATATGTGTAAAACAGCTTACATAACGTTCTACTTTTACGTATTTATAGAATTTAAAGGGAGAAATATTTAAGTAATAAAGTTTCAAAATTTAAATTTTTTAAGTCTGTAGTTTATAAATAAATGTATCATTCAAATTTTAAGAAAATTTTTTATTTTTATTACCGATTTACGATTGAAAACTCATCTGTCGTTTTAATTATTCAAATCATTTACATACAGTCATTTCATTTCAAACAAAATCAGTTACACACAGCATCGAAACATCAAAACATAACATTCAAAGCATATTAGAAGAGAAGCACACCGAAATGAAACTGAAATTAGTAAAGACACAATCTCGTATTTGGCGTAGATTTAGACCCCCCCCAAAAAAAAACTATTCTATTAATTTAAGTTTTCAATTTTCGTTTCAAATTTTGCCGACAGATGGCGCCACCATCATGTTCACTACAGTAGGGTAACAATAGAACCGTTACGCCCATTGCTTTCCAGTCTTGTAAATTTCTTTGCTTCTGGTGAAGAGGGATCTGTTTGCCCTCGAAATCGATTGAGTTTTAGTCTAAATCTATGCCAAGTACAGGGTTGTTTCTTTATTAATTTCATATTCAAAACATGCCTTGAGGAAAAGAAATTATTGAAAAAAAAAAAAAAAAAAAAAAGGGCCATGCTATCAAAAATAAAATTTTCAAAAAAGTAAGCTGGAATGAATAAATTTTTTTGTGATCGTGAATTTTCATGAAGCTTATATTAAAGAAAACTTACCCGCATGTCAGGTTTCAAGCAACAGCGGAGCAGAGAAGTTAATAACTTGGCATATAAAAAGCGCAAAAGCGTGAGACATCTTAAATTCATTTTCCATTTTCTGAGGTATTAGAAAGATTTCTATACTATTAAGTTCTACACGGATATAAAAGAACAGTCACTTAAAACGGGTCGCAACGGCATTGGAATAAACTAAAAAGTTTGAAAGCATTAATAAGACTTAGTTCTAAAGCATTGATGTAATATCTGTAAAGTAATAGTATTTTCTTCAAACTGGTTGTAAGGCAACGATATTTTGCCCTTCCAAGTAAGAACTACGCTTTCTAAACACTTACTGAATTTTACAGTGTTTAACAGGATTAACTGGAACGAGATGAATTTAAGAAACTCTCTCACCTTTCGTTTTCCGCAGCAAAGCATAGTGGCAATAAGTATGTGCTTTACTTTTCGTCGGAGCCGCGGTCTGTTAGCAAACGAGTTCATGTGGTCCACCTTGGCCGACAATACCGCTCACACAGAAAGACACCTGCAATACCGAGAAAAGAAATTAGAATTTTGTTACAAATGGGCAATAAATGGAGTTTTTTTTTTTAACATTATTGTAGTTACCGTATATTCCGGCGTATAACGCGACGCGGGCTTTCGAACAATGGTATGCTAAGTTGAAAAGCGATAAAGGGAACTAGCGGGCAAGCCCGCCAGCTGAGCGGGCTGAAGCCCGCTTTCGTTGGCCTTTATTCGAAAGTTGGACCGATGAACTACCAGTGTTCAGCGATTTTACCGCTCAGTCGCTAATGGGCCTTTTTACAAAGTGTAATTGCAAAACTTTTCGGGTATCATATTCAAACAGCAGATTCGTTATTAAAATTCCTTTTGATAAACTTCAACATAATCACACACAAACATGCTTCATTGTACATTAATGTAATTAATAATTCATAATTATTTATAATAAGAAAAATTTCCATGTACCATGTCCAAGGAACACAAATTCAATTTAAAACCCTGAACGAAAAAAAAAAATTTAGTCAGAATTTAAATTAGTATTTTAAGTATTTTGTATTTTTAGATATTTTTTTTTTACAATTAAAATTTAATTTAATATTAGCTTTATTCGAATAGAGAACATTTGTTAAATTCAAAATTACAACAATATATATATATTAATGGGCCCTTGTACGAAGTATAATCCCGAAAATTTTCGGGTATGATATTCGAACAGTAGACACGTTATTAAAATTCCTTTATTTAAATTCTTTTTGGTAAATTTTAACGCCTGTCTATAAATTTTATACCCAACATCTCTTTTATAACTTTGTTTCATAAGACTAAATATATACTGGAATTCAAGTTATACGTATGAGGAAACACTTGGGAGAATGAAAAAAACCTGCAAAGAGGGTGAGTTGTATTGTAGGTGTGCACAAGAAGGTTATCCTAGGGTTTCGAAAAAAGGAGGTAATATGGGCTACGAAAGTATTTCCGATTTGAATGAATTCTTGGGATTAGGAGTCAGGTGTTTTCTCTGTCTGCAGTCATTTGAAGCCGTGAATTTGAAATGAACATTTTTGAAGTGCAAATCGCATTTGCTTTAGTTAAAATATGGTTGATGCAATGTTTCTTTTAGTAGTAAATATAGCTCCTGGCAAACGAAATAAACATAGAGCTGGTTTCAAATGGAAAGTCATTTTCAATTTGCGAAAAAATATAGAAATCTTGCTACAGTAAAGATGTTTGGTATTGGTGAAATCTCTACGTAAGTGGAATCTGTACGTAAGTCTCTACGTAAGTCTATACGTAAGTGGAAGAAAAAGGATATCACAATAATTAATATACTGAAGAATGAATGTGCTTTGCAGAAAGAAGTAAAGGACGGGCCTCTTCTAGAAGAAACTGTTACGACCTGTGTCCTAAAAAATCGCCATTTAGGTACATAATTAAAATCAAATTTTTGTATGCTCTTCTTTTTCTTACTTTTAAATCTATCATTCTTATATTCGGCGTATAAAGCCCACCTGTAAATTTTGATTTAATTTTCATGTGTTAATTTCCTCTCTCATGTATTAAAAGTGCTCATCATACACCGGAATAAACGGTATATACATAAATGGCAAGCATTAGATCTGCTGTGTTCTAATATTGAACAAAATGCGAAATGTTATCCAAGTATCAGCGCAGTATTAGTGCATTGCGTGACATAGCCTTTCTTCAAACACAGCGTGATATTTGCACCAAATAGTCACTGGCGATCAATCTGTTGCGAAAGGGATGGCTTTCCTTTCCATTTATGGAAATAAAAACCTATATTTAGTATATTTGGTCTATATAATTTTCTATCATAAACTGATGTAAAGTTCTCTAATTTAAGGTAAACTTGAATACAAAATGCTTCCAAACATAGAAAGCCTGGAGTTCTTGCTATTGTAACCAGGTGATCAGACGTCCCACTTTTCGAGGGACAGTTCCGACTTTTAACAAATTGTCCCGCGACGTTTTAAAAAAGTTCCAATTTTTGGAAGCCTGACGAGCTAGTGAACGGATTGAGAACGGGAAAGAAATATACACTTTTCGGCGGCCATGTGGCTATGCCACTAAGATATGAGTTTTATATTATTTTTGTTAATTTTATTACATTAAGGAGGCTCATACACCTTAAACTCCTTACGATCTTCGAATATGGGACTGTTGCAAGAATTGGGATATTTTATTTATTTTAAAAGCAATTGCTTCCAACGTTTTACAGCTGACTAACAGCTTTGGGAACTAGTAACCAGAAAGTTTGTGTTGCCACAAATAGTTTTATAAATTAATCCACTTTGTGACAAAATATTTCGTCATATTTCCACCTTGGCGCATGATATTTTAAAAATGGCTAATGGTACATACTTGAAAGTTGATGGAATTTATTATATGGGCACTATCTTCTACCTGAACGAAAAATTTGATGAATATTTTAATATTAAAAAATTTTATGCACAAAAACATTACAGATTTTTTTAATAAAATACATTTTATAAACTCAACTTCAAATAAAATAAAAATTTAACATGAAAGTCTTAGAATTTTTGGTTCACAATAGTTTGCAAATATTATGAAAGCTACATATTAAATATGGAATCAAATTATGCAGCAGAATGTTTTAAATTGTGCGCGCAAGGTGGAAGCATGACGAAATCTTTTGTCACAAAGCGGATTAAATTATAAAAATATTTGTGGCAGCACAAACTTTCTGATTACTATTTCAGGAAGCAGCTATACCTTGTAGTCAGCTGTAAAAAGTTGAAAGTAATTGCTTTTAAAGTAAATACGTTATCATATTTCTTGTAACAGTCACATATTCGAAGATGTTATAGGTTTTAAGGTGTATGAGTCCCCTTAAACTTTAATAATAATAAATAATTGTTGAGAATAGGTTGTCAAGAACTCTTTATCAAATTTCGAATTGTTGATCAGTTGTTAGAATTCGACCACCATTGTTTGGACTTAATGAACAATGGCATTTTGTGGCATTCATAACGACAGAAACATTTTGTAGCTGTCTCTCAGACGATGCAAATCGTACTAGTGCTAGTTAAACAAGTGATGTCAACAAATGAGCTATTTAGATAATTTAGGTAAATAATTTATTTTATAAGTACATAAATTTTCTTGAATTTATTAGACATTACTCGCATTATTCATATTTAATAATGGCGGCACAAAGCCTAGCGCCGGCCTTGAAAGTGACACTTACGACTTACGTTACGGTAAATTCAGAGCAAAAATAATAAAAGTTAGTATTGTTATTATTTAGAAAGAAATATACAATTAAAATTAAAATAATTTTTAAAATATAGTCATTTTAAAACAATCAAATTAATTTAATTTATAAATTAACAATAAAATATGTTCGTGTAATTATGTACCTACTGTGTTTTTAAGCAATATGTATATAATAATTATAATAAAATTTTAAATTATTTTTTTAGATTTTTAACATAATGAGTAAGAAAAGAGGATGTAAATTCAACCATAATGTAGGATGTGAATTTCCTTTTATTATAAAAAAACAAAAGCGTTTACATGGTAAAATGTAATTGTGAATTTTCTATGTAGTTGTGAATATTCTTGAACGGCGGCATGAATGATATTTCAAAGTACTTGAAGACACAGAAACATAAAAGATATTTAAATTCTACTGCATTTTCCTCCATAATACAGGAATATCTTCAGAAAACATCTTATGAAGACGAAGAAAAGAAGTTAGCATTAGCAGAATGACTTACGTCTTTTCATTCTGTTAATCACAATCATTCTTTCAGATCTATGGACTGTACATCACAAGTTGTAAGTAAACAAGTTATTCTACAAAAAAATTTGCCTGTGTTAGAATAACATCCAAGGCAATTGTGTGTGATGTGCTTTCCCTATATGCGTTTTCAGAATTAAACAAAAATCTAGAAAACATTTATTTTATACCCATACATTCTGAGGCATCTAATCATAAGGATACAAAGTTATTTCCAACCATTATTAGATTTTTTGATTCGGAAACTGGAATAAAAATTAGAATTTTTGATTTTGTTTCTTTGCCCGGCGAAACTTCTAAAATAATTTTCACTATTATTAATATTTGGGAAAAAATAATTTAAAACATAAAATGATTACATATTCTGCAGACAACACGAACGTAAATTTTGGAGAAAAAGCGGGAAGAGGTACAAATAATATTTTTTATAAATTAAACAAAAAATATTGGTGTTAGTTGTGCAGGGCACATAATGCATAGCGTCATTCAAACAGCTGCTGACTTGTCGCCCGTAGATGTGGAAAATATTGTTATTAAAATATATTCTTATTTCTATACAAACACTATGCGCATTGAAATGCTTAAAGAATTTTGTGAAACTGTCGAATATCAGAAAATACTTGGATACAGTAAATGCGCTGGTTAACTCTTTTGCGAGCTGTCGAAAGAATTTTGAAAATATACGATACTTTTAAATCCTACTTTCTATCACAGGATAATTGTCCTAGAATTTTAGAAAAGATTTTTGTCTTCAAAACTTTGGCTAGAGTTTGTACACAATCAAGCAACTCTTTTTCAAAATGCTAGAAAACTTATTGAAGGTGACAAAATTTCGGTAATCGGTAGCAAACGAAATTAGTAATTTGAAATTTCAGTGTCAAGAACATTTAGAAAATAGTTTTCTTCCGTTAATTATCCGTAGTAATATAAGCCAACTAGAAGAACAAGAATCGTACAGAGATCATGAATCATATTAAAAAGTTCATTCTTATGACAAATTTCACCTTTTAACCAAAGACAGCAATTTACTAAACAAATTCAAAGAAATGAGAAATATGCCAAGGGATAATAATACTAGTATATATAATTTTTTATTATGGATGTATGTATTAAATTTTACTATGTATGTATTAATTTTTATTATGTATTATGTATGTATTAATTTTATGTATATAGGGTGTTTATAAAGTCCCGGACCCATTTTGATGTTTAATAACTCATAAAATAATGAAGATGTA